CGCGCCTCGGAGAGCTGCTGCCGTCCTCTTCGGATCGCGCGCCCCCCTTTCCGACCTGCCCGTCCCATCGCGGGGAGGAGGAAGATCGCCGCGATGCTGGGCTGGGGTCGCTGGCTCCCTCGTCGGGCCGGGGCTGACGGCGAGCCTTTCGGAAGAGGAAGGGGCTCTTCCAGCCGCCTTCCCGCCTGGCGCCCCATGGCTTTCTCCGCCAACCCTCCGGTCGTGCCCTAAACCTCCTCGGTTCCCCTTCCCCGGGAGCAGGGGCGCAGCTCTTCCTCCTTTCTCGGCAGTCTTTCGGCCAAAGCTCGGGCGACCAGATAGCCGGCCGGGCGAAGGAGGACACAGACGACTGGAACGGAGGTCCCGGGAAACTCTTTAACTTCGCATCCGTGACAAAAATTGCAGTGAGAAACCACCAAAAAGAAAAAAAAAAGGGTACTTAGACCTACATGCCTATGAAATTACTTTTTCCAGCCTCAGAAAGACTGGTTTTGCAATCGCAATATTTTCCCGACCAGTCTTTATTTTCAAGAACACACGCTAGCAATAATACAGAAGTGATGATGACGCATTTACCAGATTTCACCAGAGAAACCTAGGACAGGCTTTGTACATACTGATGTACAAATCTCAGTTTTAGAGGTGCCGTTTTATCGTACAAAGTTCGTACTGCTCTTAAACCGCGGTCCTAGGCCTTCTGACCACGTGGAAACAACCTCCGTGATGGATTGTCATGGAAACAAACCTAAAGCCTTCTGTTTATAGGGTTTCATAGCCAGGGTAACGTGTTGCTCTGGCCCCTGACTCAACAGAAAGCCATCCTGTAGATCCTTCCAAATGAAATTGTTTTAAATTAAATGTATCTTAATTTAAAATATTCAAAGACAGCCACCAGATATCCCAAGATTGCAATGTTCCTACAAAATCTCAGGGTGGGTCTGTGTGATCTCACAGACTTTGAAACTTATAAGATTGCGGATAATTTTCAGGAGCGACAGAGACTCTCACTGTGAACTCTGTGGGGCTACCTTATCTTTGAATTTTTAGGACCGAGGGTCAGATTAGAAGAAAATTTGGCTCAGATGGAGCTATTCATCTTTCCCCCCAGCATTCTGAGAAACCTCTGGCTATCCTGGCCAGAAAAATCACAAATGCCAGATTTTACACCCATGTTTGGCTTTACACAATCCCCATCTTGCTTTAAGGTATCACTGAAAGGTCACCAGCAAATTGAATAGGTCTAAATGGGTAAGGGCATCGTTAAAGACAATCTCATTCTCTCCTAGAAGGGATTGAAGATTTACTTTATTTTATTTATTTTTATTTTATATGTCAAATTTGTCACCGCCCATCTCGTTGAAACGACTCTGGGCGGTTTACAAAATGATTAAAAATTAAAATTACAATATACAATAAACTTAATAAGTAGAAAATAAATAGATCCAAGGACAGATATAAAATTGGCAGTCACTCAGGGAGTGTCGCCAAGGTGCCAGCCACCCCCAGGATTGGGTAAGATTGTTGTCAACCCACACAAGCTGGCAGAGCCAGGTCTTCAGTTCTTTCTGGAAAGCCGGCAGGGTAGGGCCCTTCCACACCTCTGGGGGGAGAATATTCCAGAGGGCAGGGCAATGGCAGAGAGGGCTCTCCTCCTAGCCCCTGCCAGCCGGCATGCCCTCACTGATGGGGGCCACAACATGCCCTCTCGGCCTGACCAGGTGGGACAGGTTGATGTGACAGGGCGAGGCGGTCCCTCAGGTAACCTGGACCCATGCCATGTAGGGCTTTAAAGGTGATAACCAACACGTTGAATTGGACCCGGAAGCTGGCTGGGACCCGGTGCAGCTCGCATAGTAAAGGTGTTATCTGTGCCATTCTTGGGGCACCCGAGATTGTCTGCGTGGCTGCATTTTGGACCCGCTGTAGTTTCCAGATACTCTTCAAGGGTAGCCCCATGTAAAGTGCATTGCAATAGTCTAGCCGAGAGATGACCAGGGCATGAGTGACTGACCGGAGAGCCTCCTGATCCAGGAAGGGGCATAACTGGCATACCACTCGAAGGTGGGCAAAGACCCTCCTGGCCACGACTGCCACCTGCTCCTTGAGATCCCCCAGATCACACACGGGTCTGTTCGGGGCAGTGTAATCCCATCCAGAACCAAAGATGCTAAATCCTTGGATACGGAGGGGCCTCCAATCCATCGCCACTCTGTCTTACCAGGGTTCAGCTGCAGCCTGATGCACCCCATCCAGACCCCCACAAAGATATTTGAAAAAATGCAAGTAAAATGCTATCATGTGCCAAATGATTTGAATGTACATGGAATGCAGATATCTGTGACCTTAAGACAAGATTTATTTTAGATGTCTTGCAATATATGCAACTGCCAACATTTATCTCCAATATTACAAACTGAAATTTAGAAGAAGTTAAAATTGTTCTGTGGATGACAGATGTATTTTGACCTGAGACTAGAAAACAACTCCTTCTCAATTGTGCAAGTGCTTTTGAATGGATACCTGAAAACCAACCTCAGATGTATTGAGCTGTTCCATCTTTTAGGGGAGAAACTGTTAAATAAACTATGTTCCAATTGCACTTTAATACTTTGGTTTAGGCATTGGGCTGCGTGCAAAACACATTCAAGTGTCAAGCTCCAACCTAGATTGAATTTGCGCACTTGTAGCTACAAGTCCCTGTATCATCTTCATTGCCCTCTTCTGAATTGCTCTCCAGCCTCTCGATATTCTTCTTGAAATGTAGTGCTCAGAATTATATACCATGCTCCAGGTATGGTCTCACCCACGTCAAGCAGAGAGGAATAATGACTACGTGTCTTTGATTCATTGCTTCTCATGCAGCCCAGAACCGTTTTAGCCCTCCTGGAAGCTGTCTCACGCCACTGACTGACCTTCAGCTTGTTCTCAATTACTACACCCAAGTCCATCTCAGATATAGTATTTCCGAGCCATAAATCCCCTATTTCTACGCATGTCCTACATTTTTTTCTCCCTTACTTTACATTTCTCCCGGTTAAGTCCCAGTCTCCCAAGCTGTCCAGATTAGACTGCAATCTTGTTCTGTCATCCTGGATGTTGGCCAGACAAAACGGCCTGCTGGAATCATGGGAGTTCCACCACTGGAGCAGAGATGAACACCAGACAAACAAACAGGCAGAAAACAACAATCAAGGAGAACTCCCCCACCAACACTGGCAGAGCAAGCTATTACACACACACACACACACACACACACATACATATATATACACACACACACACACACACACATACAGGCAGTAAATCCCACACTCCCTCGCACTGACGATGTTACCTAGTTGATTTATTTATGTACTTATATGTCACATTTATATAGCCTCCCATCTCACACAAAACGACTCTGGGAGGCGTACAGTTGGGTAATGAAACGTTGGCAAACAAACCACCAAGCTCGGAGAGCGCCAAGGACTCCACAGTTCAACCCTGAGCTACATACTGTACCTTCTACTGGGACTGTAGTCTCAATTGGGTAAAACAGAGCCATTGATTGATGACATAGGACAAACTGTGGCTCAGTTTGGTACTGCAAGGTCTATTTGGAAAACATCATATAAGACATACTGCCCCCTGGGGGCTGTGTGGAGTATTGCACGCTTGATGGTTGGTATAGAACAATATATAGAACCTGTAGGTCATACTGCACCTGGCGACCCTCTTGACAATAATCTGAAATACCCAGCAATTGTCCTGGGTGAAGGACAATTGCATGAAATATCCAAGTGAGCCACCAGGAAGCTGTGTGTGCAATAGTTTTAATAGTTTGATGTATTTTTCACTTTGACACTGGAATACCAGAGTGAGCCACTAAGAGGCAGTATCTGCTATAGTAGAAATCCATTGCTCTATTTCCCAGTTCAACCTCCAATACGCAGTCAGCCTCAAGGAGGCAGTATGTGCTGAATGGTAAACATATTGCCCTATTTTTGCTACGGAGCCTGCAATACCCAGGTCAGCCACCAGGGGACTTAAAGCTTTTCTGCATTGCTTTATTTTCTTCTGTTCTGCAATACCTCGGTCAGCCACTAGGTAGCAGTACAACTTACAAATTCCATTATATTGCCCTATTTTTCCCCCTAAAGCTGCAAATACCTCAGTGAGCCATATGCACTATAGCTTCAATACAAAGCCCTCTATTCCCAAATGAGCCTGCCATACAGCAATAAGCCACTGGGGGCAATCTGTCCAATATATTCGATACATTTCCCCATATTCCCCATTGAGCCATAATTACCCAGGTTGGCCATTTGGGGTCACTATATCCAGTATTTTAAATGCATTGCCCTATTTCCCCATTGAGAATTTGATATCCAACCTGGCCACTGGGGGCAATATGTGCTATAGCCTAAATGCATTGCCCAGTTTTTCCCATAGACCCATTTATACTCAAGTGGGCCACCGGGGGGCACTATATCCTATGGTGGAAAACAGGACAATCTAGTCACTTTGTTCAACATACTGCCCCTAGGGGCTGCCTTGGGTATTAAAGGCTCCAGGGAGAAAATAGGGCTTTGAAATCCTCTCATAGCAACACTGCCCCCTGTAGCTGAACTGGGTTCTGAGAGCTTAAGGGCTAATAATATAGAGCGGTGTTTCTCAACCTTGGGAACTTTAAGATGTGTGGACTTCAACTCCCAGAATTCCCCATGTTGAGAAACACTGATATAGAACAATAGGATGACATGATCTTAATAGTGTTGCTGCAAATTTCCTTGATTACAGTTTGATTCCAGGTAAATCGCTCTACCTAAAAACGAAAGAGAAAGTAAGAAATGTATTTTCTGCAATACCCAATTGAGCCTCCAGGGGGCAATATGTCCTATAGCTTCCAGCCGATTGCAGTATTTTTCACACTGACAGGGCAATACCCCAGTCAGCCACGTGGGGACAATTTGTCCTATGTCAATCAATGGCCTTATTTTTCCCCAATTGAAGCTGCAATACCCCAGTAAGGCACACGAGGGCAGTATGTCCTATAGATTCCATTCCATTGCCCTATTTTCACAAGGAGGCTGTAACACCTCCATATGCCACCAGGGGGCCATACGCCCTACAGATTCCATTATGGGACGCTTGAATCAAGCTTGCTGCCCCAAAGAGCGAAATCTTGTGGTGATTTGATGTACCTGCCTGAAGAAAAGGCACATCTAACACCTGGTAAGGCAAAAGCTGCTGAAAATGGAAGGGAAACAGCTGTTTTTCACTGCAGGCAGGGCCAGCCTTAGCCCAGCCACTTCAGAGGCTGCTCTCTGTCTGCTTTATTTAGATCCCTTGGGATGATCGGGATCCCCTGACAAGTCCCAACCTGGGAATCAGGAAAAAAAGAAAGAGTGGGATCGGCCACAAAATATCGCAGCATGAAGGGCCTCTGTCCTCAGCCAGCTGCCAGACATCTCGTCTTCTTCCATCTCCATTTATCCACTTTGAGATTCTCCCCTTCTTAATTAAACACTTCCATACGTGCAGGGGTCCCCCAAAACCTGGCCGTAATTCTCTTTGGTCTACCTGGGGAGCTAGGATAAGAAGCTCGAGACCCCCCAAAAACACTGCGGACACCCCTGTGGATTTCAATAGTGTTTTTCCAGAGTAACTGAATCTGAACGCTACCCCTTTCGAAACATGGCCTGGTTTTAAATCCCAACCATGTTGGCTCCAGCTGCACCTCTTTGAGCATCAGGCCAGCCCACTCTGGGCCCAGCCCCCTCCCCTCTGAGGGGGACACGTGGCTCTCGACAACTGAACCGTGGCAAAATGTGGCTTTTGGCAGAAAAGAAAGCTTCTCTAACAGTGCATATTAATGAAGGAAAAGAAATCTCTATCTGTGTCTGTAACTAGAGCAGTGTTTCTCAACCTTGGCAGCTTTAAGATGTGTGGACTTCAACTCCTAGAACTCCCCAG